TTGAATTCTAGGTTCATGAAGAGAGTCTTCTTAGGAACCGTTGCGATGTTTGACACCGGAGGCTTCTCCTTCATGTTTTTGTCAATAAATCTTGATGGATACCCATTCTCTAGTAGGGTTTTACGTAATAAATTTAATTCTTTCTCTACCATGTCTTCCGAGCAGATTTTTCTGATCCTTGAACACGACGTACGTACCAGGTTTCTCTTTCGGATTAGTGGGACAAAGCTCTGGAAGTTGATAAACTGTCCAGTCCATGTTGGCTTGCGGTATATTGATCTTTGGATAGTACAGTCGTGTCGTTTGGTGAGTAGTACACCAAGGAATGGAAATGCGTTGTTCGATTCTCGTTCAAAGGTCAAAATTCGAAAGCAACAACCTAGAATTTCCTCTCCCAATAAACTACCTGAAGGAACTTCCTCTCAGATGTACGTTCAATATCCAGTTCAAATTCAATGAAAAGTTCTATGTACAGAAAGATGGGGTAGCCATGGGGTCTCCTCTCAGTCCACTCCTAGCCGACTGCTTCATGGCGAGTCTTGAAAACAACATCCTCGATCCCTTGATAAGTCAACTGCACTTATACAAGAGATAAGTAGATGATACGTTTATAATCTGTGATGAAAATTGTGATTTAGAGTCTCTCCTCAAAACCTTCAACGCAGCGCATCCATCAATAAGTTTCACCTTAGAACGATAGTCGAACAACGCATTTCCATTCCTTGGTGTACTACTCACCAAACGACACGACTGTACTATCCAAAGATCAATATACCGCAAGCCAACATGGACTGGACAGTTTATCAACTTCCAGAGCTTTGTCCCACTAATCCGAAAGAGAAACCTGGTACGTACGTCGTGTTCAAGGATCAGAAAAATCTGCTCGGAAGACATGGTAGAGAAAGAATTAAATTTATTACGTAAAACCCTACTAGAGAATGGGTATCCATCAAGATTTATTGACAAAAACATGAAGGAGAAGCCTCCGGTGTCAAACATCGCAACGGTTCCTAAGAAGACTCTCTTCATGAACCTAGAATTCAAAGGTGATGTCGCAGCGGAAATTCTCAGAAACCGCCTTTATAAATGTCTGAAGAAGACATTTCCAACAGCCACTCTCCGTATCACATTCTCCTGCAGACAGTTAATCCAGTCTAACGCTAAGGACAAGATACCGCTTTTGGCCACCTCAATGTGTATTTATCAATTAACTTGCTTGTATGGAGCAAAGTATATTGGCCGTACGCAGCGTCAAGTCCACAAACGTATTCTGGAACACTGCCCAGCTTGGTTATCCAAAGGAGAAAAGAAGAATAGCAACAGCTCTATCCTCGATCACCTTGTCATCTCTGGACATCGAGCACCCCCACATGAATGCTTCACAGTGTTACACAGAGTCCCTCAATATCGTACAAAGGGACTTCGGACACGCCATCTGTACATAGCTGAAGCATTAGCTATTCGACATCTGAAGCCGGACCTCTGCATCCAAAGGCGATACATACATTCTCTCGCCTTACCGTGGCCAGAGTAAAGTTCTCACCACAATTTTGCTTCTTTCCTTTATTATGTAAGTTCACTATTATTACTATTATTATTTTATTTTATTAATACTTTTATTATCATTTTGTCCCCATCATCCACATTTTCTAGCTTACAATTAGTCATCCCTTCTTACACCTTACATTATGTAATACAATTTTCCAAGGACAAAATTTACCAGTATCTGATTGGTCTAAAGATTTCTTTGTTAATTATAATTACGATTGTACAGCTCATGAAAATGAATCGTCGAAAAGAAAATTTTCTTTGCTGTTTGTGCCTTTTTCGAAACTTGAGTTTGATAGTTTTCTTTGTTCTTCCCTATTGGTGTTAGTGGTAGTAGAATTTTCCAGATATATGGGACATGTGGAGAATCATTCCTATTACACGTGTTTGGAGGTGATTCGATAGACAAAGCTTCTGTTATCAGTCTCTTCCTCAACCCTGTGACATAAGATTTTAAAACTGTCATCCTATCCCATCCTATTTTATGGTTGTGTGTAATTGCATGTAGTGCTATAGATGACCCCAATAAGATAGGAAATCTAGAGAATAGTTCAGCTATTGCACTACAAGTAATTACACACAACCATACAATAGGATGGGATTGGATGACAGTTTTAAAATCTTATGTCGCAGGGTTGAGGGAGAGATTGGTAACAGAAGCTTTGTTTATCGAATCAACTGCAGATTCGTGTAATAGGAATGATTCAACACTTGTTCCAGATGTATGGAAAATTTTTCTACCTTGTTTTTTCTCCTTTTATCTTTCTTACCCACACCTTTTGTGTCTCCCTACCCATTATTTGTGACCTTGACCTGTATACAATCTGACCTGTTTTGTAATTATTCATGCCTTCTTGCATTATATAAAAACTGTGTATGACAAGTACGTGTGTGATCAGAATGTCCGAAATGTGTTGCGCCAATACATTACACGTTTCAGATAAACTACGTCTTCTTATTATTTTGTCGAAATTTTACTACCCCTACGACAAATAGGAGAGGACAAAGAAAACTATCAAACTCAGGTTTCAAAGTCGTGTGATTATAATTGATGTGATTACGAACAATAAATTGTGTTCGAAACGTCATCCAGTAAATAATACTGTTTCACTGTGCGATACATCTAATAAACAAACTAATATGGAATTACTACTACAGTGCCCATGTTTTACACATATATTCAAAGGTGGAAACCTTGAGTTCCCACTGGAATATAATTATTGGAAAAATGGATTCATGGGGGTTTATTTATGGTGATGATGAGACTTCATATATCTCTCAGTTAACCTTGAAGAGTAACTACTATTGACTAATACCTTTCAGACTACTTCTAACTTCTCTTTTATTGTTATTTTTCCAAATTCAGTGTTGAAACTTGGTATACGATCTATTTCAGGTTTGCTGTATATCAGTCGATTTACTCAGACAAATGCCATTAGCATTAAATTTTTTTTCTATTTTTTTTAAATTTTTGGTTACAACTTGATGCCACACTGTATTTTCAGAACAAGTATGGCATTTTCAGCATGGATATCGGTAGCCCAAATTTTGCAGGCCGACCATAGATATCGGGCAGGAGATCGAACCTCGGACCATGTGCATGGTCGGCGAGAGTCCTAACCACTGTGCCACCGACGCACAGCGAAACGTCAGTAAAAACAATATCGTATTGTTTTTCATTCATTGGGAAATATAAAAACCTTTATTATAAAGAATAAATGTTTCATCAAGAAGAAATTTATACATCCATCAGGTTAATCTCTCACTGAAATAATGTAATGTCCACAAATCCTTTTAGCTTACTTTCAAGTGATGAATATAACAGTTTACATGTTCATACAACGTGCATTCACAATGTATGGACAGAAAATAAAAGCTTTTTGTTGTTCCTAGGCTTGAGCATATATTAAAATATTTGAGGCAAAATGTTAGAGAAATTTTAAGTAGCGCTATCGCCTGTTAATTTTAAGATAAAATAAGACTGGTTCCTCCTTAAATATATCTAAAAAAATTGCTTAGTTTATCTATTATATAAACAGACTTATAAACATCTCGTGTCATTTTATTCATTCAGTTTTCTTGTGTATTTACTTATGTAATACTAATGGTCTTTATTTCCAAGTTAATTATCATTACTTTATTGTGTCCCATGTGGAACACAGAGCTTCGCGGCATCTCCATTTTGTCCTGTCCTCTGCAGTCCTCTTCATCTGGCTCCACGATTGCTCATAAGGTTTAATTTCCTATTCACACAATCTCCTCCATATCACTCTCGGACGCCCCGGTCGTCGTTTCCCATTTGAGTTCCACTCAAGACATGATCTGGCAAGCGATGTCACCTGACGGTCTCCTCAGCGTGTGTTCGATTTGTCTTTATTTTCTCCCTCATATTTGTTGAGTAATAGGTTCTTGATTGGTCCGTTCTCATAGTTTTTTGTTGCTTATTCTTTCTGGCTATCTGATGCTGAGTATGAAGCCAGCAAAGGCAGCTGTTGATAAAAGTCTGCAGTCTGTTAGAAGTGATTTTCGTCACGCGCCGTTTCAAGTTAATTAATGAAAGTACATTAATGCTTTCTTTGCACTTTGATGTTAATATTGCCTCAGATTTTATTCAGTAGATATGAATCAACCAAATAAAAAGATATATCGTCGTTGTACGTTGATTAATGAATGACTGAATGTCTTCCAGCCATGCTGGAGTTCTTGGTTCGATTACCGGCCAACGCATTCTTTAGCCCCACCTAGTTTACTAACCGGCAACAGTCCTGGAAAGAGAGAAGGTTGGGTGTGAGACTAGCTACCCCATCCCGTAAAAAACAACATTACGGCTACTTAAACTTCAAAAGTTGAAGCCTTGTGTTCCACTCGGAAATGAATGAATTCAGAAGAAGAAGAAGAAGATTATGTTATTTCACTGAACTTGTTGCTGTCACTGTAATCGTTTTGTTCAAGTTTATCTAGTAAAGAAATCGTATGAAATACCTGATATTGTTATAAATTGGTGTACTTTTTACACTTCAGTGGTTATATGGCTTTTCTATGAATTGTAAGTTATTCTATCAATTCATTTTCATCCAAACTAATAGACGTAATGAAAGACTGTAGAAGATGATTTCTTCCTTCCTTCTTTTTTGGAATTTTTATTGTCATGAAAAAGAAGAAAAGGTGTGGCTAATAAAGAAGTGTGATATTATTAAGTCAACATGTATCCACTCCACTGAGATCGTTTCAAAGTGATATCACTTAGATCATCAAACCTACACACAAACTAAGTCAATAGTTAAATATTTTTGTGAACTGGTTATGTATTTTTGTTTGATGAAGTTTAATTTTCTTCAATTACAATAATAATAGTAATAAGAAAATCTCTGCCATCTAGACATACATACATTTATCTTGTTGTATTGTATCTCACTAAATATATGTTGTTTTAAAAAAAAATATACCTACAGATCAGGAGACAGTAATAATGTTTTGGATAATCTACTGTCTCGTATGGAACAATATACGAATAATTTAGAAGAATTAGTTGAACAGCGTACAGCACAGTATCTAGAAGAGAAAAAGAAAACAGAAGATTTATTATATTCAATGTTGCCAAGGTGGGTACTAGTAAGATTCAGTGTTTGTATGTATGTCTATGTATGTGTATATGTGCGTATGTATGTATGTATGTATTCAATTGTACACATATTCTGTTCACATTATTGTTTCATTTTGTTTTATTCTCTTTAGATCTGTAGCCAAACAATTATTCCGTAATCAACCAGTGACAGCAGAAAGTTTTGAAATGGTTACCATTTATTTCAGTGATATTGTTGGATTTACATCACTATCAGCTGAATCTACTCCAATGCAGGTATGTAAATTACTAGTCACTACTACTAGTATTACTGTAACGGGAGAAGATAAGAGACTTGGTTAAGGATCTTTATTAGGGGAAAACACACATTTATGCGTTCATAGCCACATAACAGTTTGGCTAGGTCAGAGGACAATATATTGTTCTGATTTTCTCGTGATTAACCCAAGGTCAAACAAGTTGTCCAATGAGATTATTGCATATCCCGAATGTCAACCAAATCTAGATTGAAGAAGAAACATTTCTACCTCTACATCCATTGATTTAAAATGTTGATTCCAATTTTGGCCTCTTCCTATCAATCTACATCATGCCACACACTACCAGTGATAATATTGATGTTAGATGGTTGGAGGCAATCGTCAGGAAGCCGTGGACCTACGTCTCGCGCTAGTTGGCCCTCACCAGTCAGCAAGGCGTATCCACAAACTTGAAGGAATTCATGTCCCTTCTGAGAATGGAACCCGCTTCACCACCCAGTGCTACAGTTAGAGTCGTTACCACTGAGCTATTCGGGCTCGCGATTGACCTCCTGTAGGACTGTATTGGATACTTCAATTGGACACTAGTAACTAGTGTCATATGTCTAGTCCTTTGTTTGGCGCGAACTGAATTCTACCAGTCAAGTTTGCAATATGGCTTCCTACCTATTGTCTCCAACCATCTAACATCAACAATTCAAAGTTCACCGTATTGGCGAGCTACCCAGAGTGGTGGCCACATTGCAAACCTGATTAAAAGAATTCGACCTGCACCAAAGAAAGGATTCGACACATCACACTAGTTACCAGTGTCCAATCATGGTGATAATATTTTTCCGCAAAAATTAATATAAGTATTAAATGATAATTCTATTATACTTATTATTACCGTATAATCGAATAGAAAATATGCTTAAATTGTTACTTGAACTGATGACAACTGTTCATCCTAAAAGAAATAACAATTTAGATTCATGACTGAAGTAAACCAATTTTAAACAATTAAATCAAAACACTACAAACTTTAAAGCTTGACCATTTTAGGGGAAAAGTGTATTAATGACAATAAATGATTAGTACCTAACTATAGTTAACTGACAGCGAAAAGTAAACATTTGACGAAAATCAGTTTCCTAAACAATTATTATAGTGTTATTTTATTATTGGTTAAACCTTTTATATTTTCCTACCATAAAGTTGTTGCTTTTCGATGACTAGCGTTTATCAGTGCTTAAACAATTCATTGAACTAAAAGTGCACGTCATTCCTTGACTAACAATATTACGGTACTGAAATTAAAAGTATAAAAACTGTTTTCAACGTACATCGTTATTCCTACATTTAAGGGGTCTAAGTAATTATTAGGGACCGTATGTGTGGTGTCTAACAGCGCTATGCGTTCTACTCTATAAGACAGAATTATCGAGGATGTAATAAGCATAAAGTTTTAATTAATAATTCTGTCAAAGCATCTGCGGTATACAGTTTAATCGTTTTATAGGCGCTGTTACAATTATACTCAGAGATCTAGGTAACAGAAGGTTAATGGAGTTACTGGTATACGAGTTACGTGTGTCTTCTCACCGTTTAGCATAACGCAACATCTCATGAACTAATTCTAAGTGTTTTGATTGGACACTAGTAACTAGTGTGACGTGTCTAGTCCTTTCTTTAGCTCAGATTGAATTCTATCAATCAGGTTTGCAATGTGGCAACCATTCTAGGTAACTCGCCAATACGGTGCACATTGATTTGATGATATTAGATGGATGGAGGTAATGTCTCTGACTGCAGCACTGGGTGGTGACGCGGGTTCCATTCTCAGAAGGGACATGAATTCCTTCAAGGTTTCAGATAGGCCTTGCCGACTGTTGAGTGCCAACTAACACGAAACGTAGGTCCACGGCTTCCTGACGACTGCCTCCAACCATCTAATACCATTAATTCTAAGTGTTCTTGATTGTTAGGAAAAATTATAATGTTGAGTGTTGACCTTCTAACAGAGGTTTGTGAAAAACAACATGATCTATGCCTTCACTTTTTTTCATTTCACCTTTTTAATTGCTAAATAAATGATGACCATATGGTAGCTTCGTATTTTGTATTTGAAAAGAAAAAAGAATTTTGAAAAAATAAACGGACATATTCAAATTGATTGAATATAACAAGTTTCTGTGCATTCATTACAGAGTTAACAATAAAATGTTTAGTTTGTAGCTGCTAGTGGATGATTATCTGCTAAGTAAATGCTTATTTTCCTGATAATTAACAGTGTTTATCAGTTTTTATGATTGTCTGAGGCTTCATTACATTTAGTACCTTAGTTAATAAATTACTCAGTTCAGTGAATGTTTACTCTGCCTAATACGCATTCTGAAAAATTTCTTCATTGATTTGCCAGTCATTTTCTCTACTAGGCTCATAACTGGCTCTTCAATAGGCAGTATTGTCAGTAATCTTATGTAACAGCACTATTTTGTATCAAAACTGGTGATGAATATCGATCCGACTAAAGTTGAGAGTTAATTAAGACAGAAGCTGAAACATTTATAGGAATTCTGATCACGATTTGACCGAATAATTTCACAATAATTCACTGAATGTAAAGTAGATATATGTAGAAATTATATGTGTATACACCTCAAGTAAAGTGAAGTGAAGTGACACCTTGTAGAAACTGTCGACTACATATGCGAGCAACTCGTAGAAAAGAAAATAGAAATTGGCATCACACCAAGAAAATTGAAAGAATTACTACTAAAATGCACTATGAACGTTCACTTTGTATTTAATAAGGAGTATTACCGCCAAATAGATGGGGTTGCTATGGGTTCTCCCCTTGGTTACTTATTAGCTGACATATTTCCATCTAAATTGGAAAATGGTCCTTTAAAAGAGACACTAAACAAACTCGATTATTATTGTCGATATGTTGACGATACCTTTATCATTTGTAACAATAATCTGGATAGACAACACCTGCTCCAAGTCTTCAATAAGGTACACCCAGCTATTAAATTCATTTGTGAAGAGGAAATCCAAGGTAGTATTCCATTTCTGGATGTTCTTCTTACAAAAAGAACAGACGGTACCTTAAAGAGAAACATCTATAAGAAAGCGACGTGGAATGCACAATACACCCACTTCCATTGCTTCATACCTATACAATTTAAGCGCAACCTAATTCGTTGTCTTAGTCATAGAATTAGACGCATATGTACCGACGACTGAATTGAAAATGAAATAAAAAATCTTACAAATGCCTTGTTACAAAACGACTATCCTACCAACTTTGTAAAGAAGTATATCTATTAAACTACACACAAAACTAAGCGAGACACAGTAAGTAAGAAAAAGCTTTACTTAAATTGACAATTCAAAGGCGATTTATCCAGCGACATATTAAACCGTAGATTAATGAGAGCAATTGAAAGAACTTTCAGTGCCGTAAAACTGCATGTCACTTTCTCAACCAAACCGATATTGACACTGTGCATTAAAGATAGATTACCCAAAATGGCGACATCAATGTGTGCATATAAATTCAACTGCTCCTGTGGAGCTAGTTATATAGGTCGCACCCAAAGGAATTTATCTTTACTCACTCGTGAACATATTCCTGTCTGGCTTGGGAAAAGAGCAACCAAATCACTAAATAGTGCAATTCTGTCTCATCTAGTGGATAGCGAACACAGCATCAAAGTAGATGAGCCATTCACACTTGTGTATCGAGTACCGAACAATCTCCCCAAAGGCACACGATTACGCCTCCTAGCCATAGCTGAGGCTTTAGAAATTAATAGAGAAAGACCAGACTTATGTGTACAGAAAAAACTTATTCACTCTCTCTGTCTACTCTGGCCCACTATAAGGTCACCAGGATCATAATTTTCCGTATTATTATTACCATTATTATCATTTTGTAATATCATGTCTTTATTATCCATTTCTCCACCCAGCTTATTTCACCTCGTTGTTACCCTTAATTTTGTCAACTTTTGTGATTTTATACTAAGCCTACCAACTCTGTAACATCTTATTACAATTTACTATTTAGCCTCTTTATTTTATCATTAGACATTATCGGTCAGCCCTCACATTCAGTGTCCCCTTTGTTAATGTGTGTTTGTATGTATTTTGTGGTTATCGCATTTCTCTCACCCCAATGACACTTGTATTCTGTTGACTATAAAACAGCACTATATCACCTAATTGTTCATTCACACTTCATCACATTCTTCTGACTATACACCCAAAATAAATATCATTAGGCGGCCAAGGAAGAAAAAAAGTGTTTCACTATCAGCAGTTGCCATCACATTTCATCTAGAGAATTACGTGATACGAATGTTGATAATAATAATAAGAAGAAGAATAGCAAAAGTGTAAATATGTAGAATTGAGATATCTACCATAAAACACACAAATTAGATGTGTGTGTGAGATAAGGGGTGAGAGAGAAGGGTCAAGTGAAAATCTTTCATAATATTCCCCTCTTTCTAATATAAATAATAATCTTATCAATGAATAAATAAATGTGAATGGTACTTTAAGACACATACTTACAAGCGAAAACCGACAAACTGGTCGAAGAAGTAGCAAAGACAGGACTCCAGGTGAACATAGACAAGACGGAGGTCATGAAAATAACCAACCAACAACAACAACAGCAACATCCAGTGCCAATCACCATCAACGGGAAGGATTTGAAAGAGGTTACTTCTTTCACTTATCTAGGGAGCATTGTCTCAACTACAGGAGGAACGGACGAGGATGTCAAATCGAGAATCGGGAAGGCGAGAAACACATTCATCAACCTGAAACCAATCTGGAAATCTTCGTCACTCAGCATCAACAACAAAATTCGGATTTTCAATACAAACGTCAAGTCAGTTTTGCTATACGGATCAGAAACTTGGCGGGTCACCAAGAATATTTTCAACAGGTTGCAAACCTTTATCAACAACTGTCTTCGTTCTATACTGAAGATTAGATGGCGGGAAAGAATCACAAATAAGAAGCTATGGAAACAAACAAAACAGGAACCAATCGCCCAACAAATATGCAGGCGAAAGTGGAGATGGATTGGACACTCGCTGAGGAGGCCGTTGGGTGACATCGCGCGTCAGGCCCTCGAGTGGAACCCGAAAGGGAAGCGGTGAGTGGGACGTCCAAGGGTGACATGGAGGAGATCGTGTGATGAGGAACTGAAACAGTATGGATTAACATGGATGCAAGTGAAAAGTACAGCAGAAGACAGAAGCAAGTGGAGACGTGCAGTTGAAGCCCTATGTTCCACTAGGAACCCAAGGGAACAATAATAATAATAACTTTAAGACACATATGGCTAGCTAACAGACAGTAATGTTCAATTATTTTTTTATGTCATAAAACAACTCCATAAACGCACATTTGATTGATTATGTTAACTAATGGACTATCATCTCAACTTACACATGCACCCTAATACAGTTTCTGATATTATTTTCATTTGCCTTTATTGGCTATATGTACTCTATTATTCATGGATTCATAACTGTAGAGCCTGAAGAAGAAGTTATCGAAAACAATTGTTCGCTCAAAATCTTGTTTTGATTTCAATATGGGGATATTTCATTTACTGAAATAAATAATTCTAACATTTTATTGCGTAAACTTCTTCAGAGAAATAATCAAAATTAAAATATCAAAAGTACATATAAAAGAGGTTGAAACTTATAAAAACACTGATCAGTATGAATGACTATCTTATCTATATGTACTAGATTTGATCCTACCACTACACTGTTACAGCTTTGTAGTACTTAAATTTCAAATGCTATCGTGGAATTTCACTGTGTATACTTGACATCTGATTTCATGGTTATAAAGATCTATGTAAAGTTTATTTCGTTGAGCTGAACTGTCTGTTTTACTTCAGAAACCGAGTCTGGCTCAAATCAATGAATAATACTTTGTTGATTAGACCATAGAATTAATGCAATTGGAGTTCTCATGTTTGCAGATCATTCATTACAACTCAAAGTACATTGTAATTGCCTGATGCTAGTAATAAACAGTTATAGGTGGTTCACAATTTTCAGTCCTAGAGTTGATTATTCACTTCAGACAATCATTACATGTATATCCAATTCATTCAAAGACTAATTTAAGTTTTCTAAAAATTATATATCTATAAAATAGTTTTTTTTCCAAAAGCGCTGATTTGTGTCGCCTAATTATTATTATTGTTTTATTGAAGAACAAACCATAATCGTTTTCCTTCAATTCCTCCTATTTTTCAAGCTTTTAATTTTGTTTAATTTTATATTATTTCTATATTGTGGTTGGAGTTGTCGTGACTTAAAATTCTGGATTTCCTTGTAACACGAAAGCCTTGAATGTGATGATACTCTTGATGTAGGCTAGAATTGTAATACAATGATAAATTACAAGTGGAGAAGGAAGGACAAACAAAAATAGTTAACAAACAAATTGTGAATATTTTTTCTTCGCCTGCTTATTAACTATACAATTTCCCAAATCTTTCATTTACTTCTTTTTCCACTTTCAACAAAATGCAAACATTTATTATTATTATCATTATATGCTCCCCCGGGATGAAAATAAGAGGACATGTAGCATGGATTAGGCATCAGATAATAATCAGAGGAAGTCAGACGAATGGGTAGAAGAGATTCTGTTTAATTTAGCTAATTCTAGACACATTATTTTAGAATTCTACCCTTTTCTTTACCCTTCTAAGTACATACAAGTGATTCATTCAGATAAAATTAGTCTTTGAGAACTTTTAAAAAAAATTTTGTAGGATTTATTTTAAATATATTCAGAATGGTTGAGGGATTTCATCATGAGCTGACATTAGTTAGGGAACCGTTGGGAAACCAGCTAGGAGTACTGGATAGCCAACTGTTTCGTCCTAGTTTGGGACTCTTCAAAAGTACGCGCCCACCGGGGTTCGAACCCAGGACCTTCTGGTTACAAGACAAGCGAGCTCGTAGACAGTTAAGCCCCTGGTGAATGCGTGCTAATGAAGAGTTCCGAACTAGGACAAAACTGCCGTCCACTACTCCCAGCTGGTTTTCCAAAGGTTCTCTAACTGATATCAGCTCATGATGAAATCCTCCAACCAATCAAACAAAATCCCTACAAAAACAATACTTGAATATTTAGTATGTATTTTCTATTTTTCCCTTTTCCATGACTGAAATAAATGTTCAGATATATTAACAAAATTTCACGATAGGAATCATTGAAACAGGAATTGTTAGTTGTACTGACGTTTTACTTATAAGCATTACACTGCTTGATGTGAGTAGTCTCCGACCACTCATATTATAATGTGCGTCGGTGGCACAGTGGTTAGGACTCTCGCCGACCATGCACATGGTCCGGGGTTCGATTCCCTGCCGGCGCACACCCGATATCTATGGTCGGCCTGAATTTGGGCTACCGATATCCATGCTGAAAATTCCACACTTGTACTGAAAATACGGTGTGGAATCAAGCTGTAAATCAAATCAAATCAAATCAAAAAAGTAGTACATAGAGTCATGCATTTATGACTCTTTTCTTGATGGTCATTTGTGGTATCAAACATCAAAGGAAACTGTAGTGAAAATTTACATGGAATTGTGTCAACTGCAAATCGCGAATCAATTTACAAATTGTCAATTCGATAGAGCCAACAGAGATTACATATCAGTATTTCAGTGATATTTATTATTTCTATTGATCATCTTTTTATTTCCTAAAAATTATTTACTTTGTATGTTTTACATTTGTATTATATATTAAATAGGTTGTAGAATTATTAAATCGATTATATACACTTTTTGATGGAATAATTGAAAATTTCGATGCATATAAAGTTGAAACAATTGGTGATGCTTATATGGTTGCTTCAGGTTTGCCACAACGAAATGGTAATAAACATGCACGTGAAGTAGCACGTATGTCAATTGCATTTTTAAAGGCTATTTTTGAATTTCAAATTCCTCATCGACCTGAAAAACGTTTAGAATTGAGAATTGGCATACATTCAGGTGAGTTTTTTTTTTTTTCAAAAAACAAACGAAGAAACAAACAAACTATTCAGTTTATTAATACTTCAGCACAATAAGTGTTGATATATATGACTAATTCGATTGAGTAATCGATTTTCGATGATATTCCTCTCCATCTCATTTAGACTAAATATTCAAGTAATATCATAAATAGTCATATATATTATTAAGATATAAGTCGCACCTAGTGCGTGTGTGTGTGTGTGACAAAATGCAGGTCAAGCAATACCGCTGGGGCGGGAAGGGGTACATACAACTAGCTATCTGTTTTGTTTTTGATTTCTGACTTCTATTCAATCACTGTATCATCTGAAATACAGATACTTATGTCGATTGTATTGGGTTATTTTGTTTGAATGAATTTCATTTTGAAATAAGTGTACACATAGTTATCTTCCTCCCTTATATTGAAATAGTAAGAACAATCGATGTGCACGTCTCTTTGATAACTAGTTTTAACTAAGAATATGTATGGAATGCCTAATTCTTCTTTGTTTAGTTCCTGGGATGAATTCTTGAAGATACAAATTCTCATGTGAACAGAAATTGTCATACATAAAGATAAAAAGTAATCTAATGTCGACTTCAATAATCGATGAACAAGATATTTTGTAGATTTTGTTGCATATTTTGATCTAGGTAGTGAGTCCGTTTATCTTATTGTGTAGTTGACTACTGTTATTACTTTATCCATGTGATTACTTTTCTTTTTTATGGTTAGGCCCAGTTTGTGCTGGGGTAGTTGGACAGAAAATGCCACGTTATTGTTTATTCGGTGATACTGTAAACACTTCTTCTCGAATGGAAAGCAACGGTCTGCGTAAGTTCTAATTGCTTTCTGTCTCTTTCTCTCTCTCTCTCCACACACACACACACACAACCCACAACCCACAATACACTTTTATCGGCATTTGTGCCTATGGTTTATGCGTTGAGTTTTAGCCTGTTGTTGAAGTGACTCAGCGTCATAATAACAAGCTGAGCAATACTCATTCAAACCACCAGTTATTATCTTAATTTAAGCACACGTTACTCATTGGGGTTAATGTGTTGTGTAGAGCATAGTTTACTGGCGTATTTTAATTATTTTATCACTGAGATCAGCAACGACAACTATACGTTTGAATTTAATTAAGAACATGGAGAAATTACTCATTCAATAAAAGCATAAATATGTTTATTCGTGTTAGACAGTAGAATATTGAAATATGACATTAGTCTACTAATGTATTCTGGGCGTTATAAACAGATACAGACAACAGGTTGTAGAGGTTTAACTTAAAATTCTGACTGCAACAAACGGATAATCTTTCTCTGTCTCATATCCTTCTCTATGCGTTATTTCAGTCATATTGCTATTTGTTGCCACTTAACTTGCGTAGGAAGTATTTAACTGAATAAATGTATAAATGTTATTTATTGGTTGGTGACTATTAGTGGAATCGAGGATATGCTGATTTCATCCTATTTAGGGCCCGTCATCTGGATATACCTTCAATCTCCAATAAATGATGGCATTGCTGCTGACACTTGGACTTAGCACCCATCGTTTCATACTTCAAAACCTTGTCCTCCAGGCCACTTAAGTGGCGAGAGACAAACAATACGAAATGCACATCCTGGATTCCACTGCTGTTCATCATCCACCAGATTACATCAATGTCAGTCCGCAGGTATAGTTGAAACGTCCGTAATTGGGTGCCGACTTGTCAAGAGAGACCGAATATTTCCCTCCAATATAGATTAACCATCGAGAAATACAAAATAAAACCCTAAACAAATCAACGTTTAAATCTTCAATATATATATATATATATATATATATATATATATATATTGTCCATGTATATTGTTAAGTAATCTAATTTGATTATATTATGTATACAAATAAAGTGATTAAATAATGATCCACTTTTTCGTCAAACTAATGTGACAAGCTACATCATAACTTCTGTTTCTGTATAAATCTCATGTAATAATTAATTAGTTAATTATTTAATTGATTCATTTGTGCTAGTTAACAGCTTGGTTTGTTTCTTTTACTCTCAAACAATTTTAATTTATTCATATATTCATATGAGCAGCAGCATCGCGTATAGCTTTAATTTAATTTCAACCTAATAAGTTAGTTAACTCAAACCAGTTGGTGTAAAGTTAATGCATATATAATTTCTTTTTCAATTAATTAATTGCATTAGTAAGAGCATGTAAGACTGTATTAATTTTGCTTGATTGTATATTGGTATATGAGGTTCATATGATATGTTTCTTGTTGTCGATTAAGGTCAGTACACACCATTCAACTGGGAGGTATATACATAACGTAATGTTTTTTAAATCACCGAAAATACCCATTGAGTAATGAAGAAAATAAAAGACAAATTCAGCGAAGAAAATTTTCTTTATCGACGAAATCATCTTCAGAGGCTGTGCAGTCGCATTTATATTTACCACAAATGTATAGTGGTCTATTAGTGGATAATAGGGGGTGACATAATTGATATAATTACTCGGAAGTGGCTTTAGAAGTAAAAATAAAAGTTGTAAATTACGTGTTACTCAACGGCACAAAGTTAGAAATTTGATAAGGTTAAAATTGCTATTGAGTGAGAATAAAGGTAGTTGAGTGCCAATTTAACAAGTGTGAAGAGGGTGTGAAAATTTACAAAAGGAACATATGAGAGTGATAATAGTGATGGTAGTAATGGTTTTGATTTTTCAACTTTAAGTTCATTATTTTTGTTCATTAGCTTTGAAAATTCATATCAGTCAACAAACGTTTGATGTACTGAAGACGTTTAAATCATTCATTATGACTGAACGTGGTTTGGTTGAAATGAAAGTGAGTACAGTCCACTTGAATGTTTATTTCCTATACAATAAATACAGTTTTTAATGTTTTGTCATATTTTTTAAAAAAAACCTATTTTTGTCAAAAAGAAAAAGAAAGTAACAAACTTATAGTCATGTTGATATGAACGTTAAAATTTAATTTGACTTTGAATTGTCATTCAGGTAACCAATATGATTGACGGAAATTCCATCTCAGCTGATGAAATCAGTCTATGAGGTTTTAGTTTCTTCAATAGTCAACTGTACTCATTTTTCGTGTTTACTGTTAATTCACCAACACACATACACCCACCCGCCAATTACAAAGTTCTCAGAAGAAAACACAACGTTTTATCCTAACAATATAAAACAGAAGAGGTGACAATTAAAAATACTTTGGAATCATATAGAATTCAGACCAGCTTATCCTTTGCAATGTTCTGCAATAGTATTTAGTTGAAGTCTCTGTCCCATTTGACACAGATTTTCATAACTGTTTATGTCGCTGTTATTTAAATAAATTGGATTTTCTCTACAATGCAAGTTACAGTCAATTCATGTTGGTTGTTAATTATCCCTTTTCTCAAAATCCAACACTAGACTTTTATACAAGGTATCTGAATGTTATTGAATATCACAACTGATAGAAGAGAGTGTGAGTTTCTGTGCAAGCTGTAAACGGATTATCTTGGTTACTGTCATATATTTGTAGTTCAAAAATAGCATTAGTCGCTTCGATGGCTTGCTATCAAACTGGTCTATAAAAATACTGATAATACAGCATAAACTAAAGCATTATCTTGAATTACTGTCCTGATGTTAGATGTTTTGTAGCGGTCGGAAAGTTACCCTGGACATAGGTTTCATGATTCTTGGCACTTGATAGCAAGGTGTATCTGCAGACTTTGCAGAATTGATGTTTCGTTGAAGGTTCAAACTTCTATTAGCCACTTCTGCAGTGAGTCACTTTGAGCTATCTGAGCCAACTGACTGAATAGTTTCTACTAAGTTAATAGTATTTATCAACTTTATTTATAGTTTTTCCCAAATCATACTAGCATAATGTTGAGATTTTAAGCTTTATCTAAGTTTTCAATTATTCCTTAATTACACTACAGGGTAAAGGTCGTCAAAAAACCTATTGGTTACACGGAGAAGATTGTTATATTGTTGATCCTATCCCAGCTGGTGCTAAAATTATCGGTGGAGCATATGAAGGCGTAACTGGGCCAATTCCTGCCGGTGCATTAGCACAAAAAGGAAGTAGTGGTGGTGGTTGTGTTCTTGTTGGTGGTGGCGGAAATTTAAATCAATCCCCAGGACATTTATGCAATCCACAACCTACATCACCACTTCATCCTCATTCAACAGATAATAATTCCTCACTTAAGCGGAAATCTCACAGTTTCCCTGCGACTCCAGCGTGTACTCCAGATTCTAATGATTTAAATAACCCAAGTTCTCATGATAATTATCATCATCATCATCAAAATCAACAGTCTAAACCTCCTGTCGATTCACATGAAAAAGTATCCGTCAGCATTACAGATCCTTTTCAGGTCAACAGTAATGATACTGTAAGCTTTGAACCATCAAATAAACGACGCGTTGGTGTTTGCCATTTGAATGAAAATCCAATCTACAATGTTTCAAGTGGTAACTCTCAACAAATTGGTGAAAAAGTGTAGAAAAAACAAGAATAATAGATATCCCTGGGACAACCTTCAATACAATACATTCTTTTTTTACTACATAGCACGTATTACTGATAAACTATCTTCACTCTACAGATCCACTGGCGATATTAAAAAAAAGTATCCTACAAGAAGCTACTTCCTGCCCCTCCGTTAACATGTGTATGTTTCAAGTTGTATGCAGTTACAGAATATATGACATACATAAATAGGTGATTGTATTAATGCAAGTGAAATTTCTCTCTACTAATTTTTTTCGTGGCCATATTTGTAAGGAATTTTGCTCAAAAAGTGCTTTCGATTTGATCTCACTGAATATTGTGCCTCACAGTCTATCTCTCTCTCACACCCTTAACCCCACCATCTCCAAATAGTTATAGCAATATTCCCTCATACGCATGTGCATGTATAATTTCAGTGTCCTGTCCAACTTTTCGGTTTTGTATACCATTTCGTTTGTTTGTATATCTATGTTTGTGCGTATGTATGTATGTGTACGCGTAATGTTTATTTATGTAAGTGGATAATGATGATTGTGGCATATTTCAATCTCGCTTGCATATTGTAAACGTTTCTATGTTTCCCATTCTGGTTAAAGTCTACACAAACGTTCACTGCACATTTGTTGTCTACATAACGTATAAACTATTCATGTAAAAGTTAAAATTTCAGTGTTTCTCTTAACTAATTTATTTTCTACATAGAATAAAACAATTACCTTGATTGTTAATGTTAATTAAACTAAAGGATTATTTTTTTTATGCCTAGTTATATATCAATGTCTTTCAGTTTGATAATTTGTATATGCATATACGTCTATACGTACGTGTATGTACGTATGTTTGTTTGTATGTGTGCGTGTGTGTTTTGCTTATTCTGCATTCCTTGAACATTTTTTGTCTATTCTTATTGTTACTGTTGATTTTATTTGAAATTCCTTTATAGTCACCGGTTGTTCAATGGGGACATGTTTTAGCTCATTCCCAAAATTATTTTTTTCCTCTTCAAAAAAAAAAACAACAACAAACAAACCATAAATATATTTATGTATATATGCTGTTTATGCTGGAGTTCTGTTAACAATATTTGTATACATTATACATCATTTTTTTGTCATTTTTGTTGTTGCTTTGTTACATTTTCTCCTCCTTTTGTACCATTTACTGAATGTGTCTGACATGTATCTTAATTAAAAGTTTTATACAATGTGTGAACATTGAAAAAAATATATGGGACAATGAAGGATGTATTTCTTTTGAGGGGGTATGGGGGAAGAATTACTTCTTTTCAGTGTTTTTATGTCTCATCATTACTTTCCTCATTGTATGGAGTGTGTGTATATATGTGAATGTGCGACATTTCTATCCTCATTTCATTGATTATTACTATTCTTTTTTTATAGATTTATGCTATTTTGCATAGAAATATTTTATCGTATAAGTTTATAGCCTTTATCTACAAAACGTATTTGAATGTGCAAGTGTTAGTGGATAGGTGGGTGTAATAATTAGCTTTTTTTCTCTCTCCCCGTTTCACTTTCACGTGTTCCTTTCGTGTATTTTCCCACTTTTTTTCACTGAACAGCAATAGACTTCATCCCATTTTTTTGAATTACCACATCCTACTTAAATTCGTTTGCACTCACGCATGTATGCGCTGTTTTTCTCTTCAATTGTGTATTTTCTCTCTTTTTTTGTCGCACACCTTTTTGTTTAAATCTAATTTATTATGATCATCATTATCATGCTGATTGTTGTCAGTCTTATTGTCCAAAATGCTGAGATTGACTCTGACTTGCTATACGTGAACAGATGATTGACTGTGTGTGTGTTTAAATTCCTTTTCATTCAATATTGGCTTTTTCCCTATATTTACAAACCTACCAGAAGTAATTAGTTCATACATTTTACAACTTCAACGTCATAATTATTACTTCATCCAACAAAAAGATTTCAAGCAAGCTAGTAAATACTTGAAAGTGGATTACTGAAATGGACTCCTCTGTTGTTGTTGTTGTTGTTATCGGTTAGATTTCTTTATGATTGTTTGTCGATTTTCACATATCTGTTTCCACCTTGTTTACATGCACATGTGTATGCGTGTACGTGCACGTATGTATGAATCTCCGTATGGATGACTGAGGGGTGTGGGTTATCTGTGCTTGAGTATATCCATTTCATGGACGGATGTGTATGCCTGGTCTGCATACATGAATTTACCAGCTCAGAGAACACTGTTAATTGCAAATGTAATGTGTGTATACATGCGTATTCATGTCGATGTATGTGTGGGTGTACATGTAGTTATTCACCTTGTCAACAGCAATAATAATAATGTTGATAATAGGGGATAGCAACAACAGGAGAACATACTATTTGAGAATAATGTTGATTCTCTCCATCCCTGGTTTTTGTTTGCTTCCTCTTTAGCTAATTCATTTTTTCTTGTGAATTGACTTTTTTCTATACTTTTGTTTTTCTTCTTCTTCTTAATATCACTCACGCATTAACATTTTTGTTTTCCACCTTAGATATTATGAGTACATTTCTTTTTTTCGACAGATCATGTGTACAGTATATAATATTCATCATTGTGTCTCTGTGTGTCTACATGTACACATGTGTGTGCGTGTGTATTGTGTTACATTCTCTTTTGAAACAATGGAATATTTGTCAACATAGAACTTCAGCTTAATTGGGTAATGAATAGCATCAAATGAAATTAAATTCGTAAACAATAAAGCGGAATAATAATCATTATCATTTTTCGTTATAACAAGCTATACAATACAGTATACTTAATTTGTTCAATGAGAATTTACTGTCATTATTGATTTTCAAGACATTACTGTCACTGCTATAATTATATTATATATCATTACACTGAATGATGAAAATAATAATAATAGTTTAAACATTTGAGTCTTAACACTTAGCTTCTCGTTATTATTTATTCCATATTTATTATTATGATTTCGGTTAGAAAACCATTGGAAAACCTGGGAGTTCTTGAAAGCTGTTTCGTCCTCGTTTGGGACCCCGGTGGGTGCGTGCTGTGAAGAGTTCCAAACTAGGATGAAACACCTGTCTAGTACTCCCAGGTTTTCCAATGGTTCTCTAACTGATGTCAGCTCATAATGAAATCCTCCAACCAATCAGAGTGAATCCCTACAAATGAATACTTGTATTATTATGATCACAAATCTATGCGATATTGTTGGTGTGGAACAAACAGCCAACCTTAAGTATCGAAAATCCTAAGAACTTTATTTATTTACTTATGAGTAGTATGAGTAATTATTTGAAAAAAGATTAAATAAGTACTGTATCAGTGAATAAGTTGTTGACGTCAGTGTTGAGATACAAAGTGAAAGTGACAATTAGGATGTCTTGCACTGGTGTCTTACTGGAATAGTATTTACAAAACATATTACTTTACTGTGCGGCATTTACTCGAATTTTACGTAAAGTTATTAGGGTAAAGTGCACTTTCTGTACTGTACAGTTTACAGTTTACAATTTATTTAGGATAGTAGGCTATATGCCTGTGTTAATCCTTTCGATTTGTTACACACAGGAGGTCCAATCTCGCCTTGAATGAATCAACGGATGGCGCTGATACGACGTGTTCCGGTAGGGAGTTCCAATGGTTCACGATTCGATGCGAAAAACGGATCTCCAAACGCAGACGATTCGACCGTGGTTTTTGAACCTTGAGGTGATGTCCTCACAATCGGTTGGTGCTAGAAGGAAGAAATAAATTCGATAAATTTGCTCCAAAATCATTTCTTAGGATACGGTATGCTAGTATTAGGTCACCCCTAAGTCGTCTGTATGACAGTGGAAATAAACCCAGTCGACTTAACCTCTCTTCATATGAGAGGGTTGAAGAACCCTTTATTAGCTTAGTTCCTACTCTTTGCACCCTTTCTAATAAGTCTATTTCGTATTTGAAACACGGGCTCGCTGCCTGGATCCCATATTCCAAATGAGGTCTGACATAAGTCGGATATAATATACGAAATATATCAGCGTCAAAATTCTCAAAAGCCTTGCGTATGGCCCGTAATATTCGAAAACCCTTAGTGGCTGCAGCTCTACAGTTTGTGACTGTTTTCAAGTCATGCTGCACAACCACTCCCAAGTCCTTGTACTCAGTGACCACTGGGAGAGTAATGCCATTCATTGAGTAATTGTGCACGTGACTATGAGATACATGCATAACTACACTCTTGCTTAAGTTAATCTCCAAGGCCCAGTGCTTACACCAATCACTTAACAAGTTTAAATCTTCCTGCAAAGTAAGTTGATCACTGTCATCGTGTAAAGCCCTCTATATCTTGATGTCATCAGCAAACAGTAAGCAGGATGACTTAACTACCGATGGAATCTCATTAACATAAATCAGGAAAAAAAGTGGGCCTAGAATTGTACCCTGAGGAACGCCACTCTTAACCGATTCCCATGTTGATAAAACCCCGTTAACTCGTACTCTTTGTCTTCTGTCCTTTAGAAAGTCTTGAATCCAGTCGACAACCACTTTATTGATTCCCAGACTACCTAACTTTACTAGAAGACCTGAGTGAGAAACCCTGTCAAACGCCTTGCGAAGGTCGATGAATATGGCATCCACCGGTATATTAGCATCAGCTGAGCTTGCCCAACTTTCTCTGGCCAAAAGAAGGTTGGTCAAGCAAGAATGACCTGCTCTAAAACCATGCTGTTCCACAGTGAAAAGTTTGTTCCCTTCAATGAACTGAATGATAGCATCACGAATTATTCTTTCTAGTAGTTTAACAACAATACTGGTCAAACTAACAGGACGACAGTTGTGAACTAAGTTTCTAGATCCGGTTTTGAAGACCGGACTAATGATGGCATCTTTCCAGTCTCTTGGACATTTAGACTGGTCCAGAGACATATTGAAGATTACCGACAATGGCTCGGCTATGTTTTCAGCCAATGCTGTTAATATACGTGGGTGGAATTCATCAGGGCCACTGGACTTACCAGGATTGAGCCTTAGAAGCCACTTTAGGATAGTATCCTTTCCAATGTATAAGGGTGCCATTTTCAAGTTGCCTTCTGGAAAAGTTACAAAGCTGGTATCAATATTATCAGAGAATACTTGACTAAAGTGCTTGGACAAAGCCTCAGCCTTAGTCAAGTTATCCTCAGCCATGTTTGTCTGGTCATCTTCAATCATAAGAGGTGGGATAGCATCACTCTTACGTGTTCTGCTCTTGATATATGAGAAGAGTCATTTTGGGCAGCCTGGTGAACTTCTAACTAACTGGGTTTCGTAAGCTATCCTTGACTGGTGAACCAAAGTTGTACACTGGTTTCTGGTTTCACAGTATTTCAGCGGGAACTGCTGTAGCCCAGTAGAAACAAAGAGATTCCAGAACCTTTTTCTCCGTCTTAGGAGTGTTATAGTTTGTCTATTTATCCATGGTGGCCGATTTGTTGGTCTTTTAGGAACCCTCCAGGGAATGAAATCAGTGGTAACCCTCTCAAGTGTATGCCTAAATCTATCCCATTCATCTTCAATGGATGAGACAATATTGACTGACCAGTCGGCAGTTGAAGCACGCTCCTTTATAGCGACTATGTCAGTATGCCAAACACTAGGTCGGGATTTGGGTTGAAAACTGACTAAATTGCCAGCCCTTAAGTTAAAATCTAACACCCCATGATTACTGTTTGCTAGAGGTGGATGAATAAATAGACCATCCACGTTGTCTTTGTCATGAGTAAGCACTAAGTCAAGCAAGGAAGATCCTTGGGTAGAACCGAATCTTGTACTACCTAAGACATGTTGTGTCAGGGCATTTTCTATGGTAGTCAAGAGTAACCGGCTGTCAAACTTATTAGCGGATCCTGGAGATGTGACAGCTACCCAGTCTATATGAGGTGCATTGAAGTCACCTAGAATAAGACAGCTACTGTGTTTACTCCATTGTTTGAGGTGATCTAAAATAAAGTCATCACACTGACAAAAGGGACTTCTATGCAGAACACCAATGAGTAAAGTGCCAGTTGCAAAACTTACTTCACAGCTAATTACCTCACTTTTCCCACTGTCATGCGCTTCAGATTTCACGGAACGAACATGTAGGGAGTTGTTGATGTACAGAGCAACCCCGCCACCTCTACGACCCTCAACCCTGTTGCTGCGCAAGCAACTAAATCCGCATAGCTCAGGTGTGTCATCTAATCCAGAAACCAGCCATGTTTCAGTAATGGCCACAATACTTGGGCTAAGGTCTTCCACTAATACACCTAGCTCATGAAATTTGTTCCCGATACTACGTATATTAGTGTACACTACCTTCAGGCTTCCTATGCGGTCCGGCTTATCCACACAGGTCTTGGAAGCATACGTTTCCAAGACCTGACTATTTGAAAACCCACCAGTTTAAGGTTAGTCTCACCATTTTTACGTCTTGTTTCTAGCTGAGACAAAACTTCTTTTCGTTTAATTCTGTCTTTAAGAGATAAGTCAGGTCTGACTGAAATTCCTAACCCTGCAAGGTTGTGTACATTAGCCAGTAGATGATTCCGTTCATCAGGAGAACCTAAGACTACTTTAAGCAACCTACGCTGATTAGAACATTCATCATCTCTTTTGCCTATTCTAATCAGCTTTTTAATCGATACTCCAGGGAAATTCTCTGGAAGCATCTTCCTTATAATACTACTCACTATTTTAAGGTCGTGATCGTGCCTTTTTACGGGATCAGATTCTTTGGACTCCTCTAAATTTCCAACAATTATGTTAGAGTCTAAGGAGAGCTTGTCGTGTTTAGCAGTGGCTACGTCTCTTCTCACCACTATTGATGCAGCCTGGCTACAGGTGACAGACGCTTGCCTACCATCAATATTACTATGTTTCTTCCGATTGCTTATTTTCGTTACCCACTGATCATCTGCCTGCAGTTGCTTCTCAGGGCTGCTGCAGTTTTTGATGGTTCAATCGAGATCAGTGTCTGCACCACCTTCATGGAAAACTTCGCTTACAGTATTCTCTGGTGCTGAGGTGCTGTTTGCAGCTTCCGTTTTGTTACCTATTCGCTTACTAAGACGCTTCGAACGCCTAGTAGGTTTTACTTCCGGGGTAACTGGGATAGTAACCGCCGGTGTGGTAACATTCATGATGGTACTTACTGCGTCATCTTCAGACGGGCAGTCTGTGTCACTATTACTAGCCACGCTATCATCAGGAAGTTCCATGGCCTTAGACAGTAGTTCGTGAGCCTCCCTTATCAAAGTCATCTTTGGGGAGCAACACATTCTGCACATCCAGTGGGATGTTGGAGCACTACGACGTTTGTATGCAGCTGGACGTAATCCAGTACACATCTTATGATACCACTTTTTACAGTTATTACACTGTATTCCATCATCTACCAGAAAGTAACACTCCGCCCTATTACATTTATGTGGTACTTTTGACATAATGAACTACTGAAACAGCAACGACAATTTACCCAATATAGACTATATTAGTGTTTAAAATCAAAACTTAACAGACAAAAGTCAAGTTAAAGTTTGAAAAAATGTTCTTGAAGTGAATAATACAACAAAAACAGCGATTTGTCAAATACGTGAAAATAAGCGAAAAAAGCACTCCCTTTTCCAAGCAGCGCGCGCGCGTGAGAAATATATATTTCTTAAATGTTATCTGAATTTATCGTAGACATACTTGCTATAATAACCATACTTTTAAAATTTGTAAGGATCCATCTTTTTGTCAGGAATATGTTTTAATTATGCAGATTCTTTCAACATTTAATTTAACAGTTTAATTATATTCACTATGTTTTTCTACAGGGCAGTGGTGAGAATGAGTAAAACTGTGTTAGATGGTTGGGGGCAATCGTCAGGAAGCTGTGGACCTACGTCTCGTGCTAGTTGGCCCTC